TGAGAGCTTATCAATTTTGCTGCTATTTCCAATGATTTGAAAAAAAAAAAAAATAGTTGTGTCACTTACTATGTTGAGGCTAGTTGAGTTGAATCAGTGCACCTGAGCACTTTTACTCTCTATTAACTGCGAGGTTTCTACAATACCCCTCTTTGCGCCTTGACTGGATTTTTGTTTATCACTTCATTAGACTAAGCAATAATTGACCTCAGATCTGCACATCTCCCCGAGGAGCCTGTAACCATTCTGAGATTTGATAACGCGGTGTTAGTAAGACTGTCAGATTTCGCAAATAATTTCAGGGCTCTAATATATCTATGATTTCATGATAATAAATTTCAAGGCAAAAGAGTCACAACAAGACGCAACAAATTATTCTCTTATTATATCTTCTATATCTTTTTTAGTTATGATTTGTTGTGATATTGTTTCGCTTTAAGGAGATTAATTGATTGTCCAGATACCTGAAAGTAAATCATAATTTCAGAAAATAACTCTCTAATATGTAGCTTTGAAATATTTGAAGCTTGAAAAGAAGTGATGTGGTTTTGTTATTTTTATAAACTATGTATATAGTACTTGTATAAGTACCTTTACTTTATATAAGTGCTTGCATAATTACTTTTGTGAGTACCTGCATAAAAGTACTTTTGTTAGTACTTGTTAGATCTTAAAGTAGATCTATAATAGATTTGACTAGAAAAAATGTACGTTCAGTTTTAAATAATGTAGACAATAGAATAGATAAAAAGGGATATACAGTTTTAAATAATGTAAAAGATCTGCAGTTAGTAACTAGTAAGTATAGTAGTTTTTTAATTTCTCGTAGACTGTGGATCGCAATGAGACTCAAATGTTCAATAAAGTTTGATTGCATTTTTTAAGAATGTTAATACATTTTAAAAACCTTTAAAGACTGCAGAAAACTCTGTTAATGGATTTTTATGTTATTTTGTATATAAAATAATTTAGAACTTTTTTGCCGAAACTCCTTCTAAGAATGAGATCAAGGGAACATTGAATAGTTCAATGATTTCATTTAAAATTGTTCACATTGTTTAAGTTAAAATTAATTTACTAATAATTTACATGCATTTTAATCAGTGTTCATATCTTTGTCCCTTTCCAATTAGTAAGAGCCATTCTAAGAGCATTTGCCAGTTAATCTTTGTTTAGTTTGCACTTCTTGCTTCTCTGACTACTTCGATGCGATGCTTCTTTTTAATACTCTATGCATATGGTTGTTCTTGAAGAAGACCTTGACCTATTAACTTACTATCTCTTCATTTTTATGCATTTCATTTCTACACATTTAAATGACAATGCATCGATGAGTCAATGAATCAGTGGATTAAGATGTCTTTTATGACAAACACGTTATTTGGTATTCATCGAAAAATTCCAAAAGAAAGGGAATTAAAAAAATAATTAAATTGAGAAATTTTATTATAAAAATTTTATAAGAAAAAGTTTGTATATGAATAAAATAAAAAATAAATTTGAATAAAATCCAAATGTTTTGTACTCCTAAGTAAAAATTAATTCTTCATTAGCTTAAAATACTTTTTATTTAAAATTAAAAGATTTATGTTAAAATTAGAAAACTGAATTCCGTTATTTTAAATTTATTAATTTTTTGTTTAAAAATTATTCGTTAACTAAATTTATTGAAAAATATTTAATTTGAAAATAGCATCGATTTTGGTTTGCATTGAAAAAGATACAATAGTTTTGAGGCACTCGCGAAGTTGCGCTGATAGAACTTTGTGGAACTACGGATGTCATTGCGGATGTTCATTGTGGTTGGGATCTGTGCGGGACTATGTACTGAAACCGCTTACATTTGTTGTAAGTGCTACTTCCTACACACATGCCACGAAACCTGAAAAATGACATGCAAACTACTTTCAATGCATAAATTGACATATGTAAAATCCCTCAAAGGCAAAATAAAATATCATAAATACACTTAAATATGTGATAATCAATGCATTATTTATTTTGAATCAATTAAACAACTAATCTAGATGTCTAAAAAGACTAGATATCTAGACATTAAGAGGTTTATTATATTTGCTATTAAATATTATAAAAGAAATGTCTACGAATATTACTTTTATTTATACATACATATGTTGTGAATATGGACAAGCAGGTCCAAGATTTTACCCCAGTGCTTAATAAGGCACTTAACCTTGCTGTCCGACTACTCGACCTTGTAGAAAATGAAATTCACTTTGGTGGAATAAAAGATTAGGTGTTTTGCGAAAAGAGTATTAGAGGCTTTTTAATAATACAAAGCTAAATAGCAAATAGAGTGATTAGTCAGATAACAAAATCTCTCCGCAGAAATATAAGAAAGAATTACTTAAGTTTAAGAGGGCTAGTTGGCAGTCGTACTATCAGGAAATTTCTAGTAGCTCTGAAACCTCTAGGCTGCCCAAAATCGTATCTAAGAACCTAACTGTCCCTGAGGTAATTAAAAAAATCAGTGGGCACGTGGTTTATTAATAGTAGTAAATAGTTAGAATTGCTACTAAATACACACTTCCCGGTATCCTGTGCTTCGGCAGCTATAACCTTTGAGTGCTCGAATTTCTCACGGTTAACACAATGCTCATAAACGCAGAATTGTGGTAGATTTACTTACAAGTTATTGTAGATTAGGTAACCATGTTAGATGCTTGAACCTCCCCTTTAATTATACCCATCAAGCCATGTGGAAGACGATGAAAGTGCTTCTCATCTGCTTTGTCTTTACCCAGCGAATGCACGTCGGCGACTCAACACTTTAGAGGCAACTTTTTTTTAAGAATTTTAATCAACTTTATGACCACTCACTAAACAGAATCTTAAGCTTCGCTGAAGGTTCAAGGTGGCTTTGAACCTCGAGAACCCTAGATAGGATTCTAGTTTGAAAAGCGTTTTTTATAAGAGCTTATCAATAGGTTATATTAAGTGAACTTCTAAAATTTAAAATCTCTGTACCGAATCATTCCAGACTTATCAAAGGACGCAATTAGCGGTTAGCTCAAGACAATGTCCTTTTGATATTTAATGAAAGATGTTTCCGATTAGTTATGAGTTATCGATTGGGTAAATTATAACTGAAACATAATTCATACTTACTTTTATACACACTACTAGTAACAAAATATTTCAACAATATATTGTTTCTATATCAAACTAAATTTATTTTAATTTAAAATTAACAAAGGTGCTTTTTACGTATCATAACAATTCATAACAATATTTTTTCAAATCGTAAATATGCTGCTACCTAAATAATCACATAGTTTACATTTTCATTTATCGATAATTAATTTGCGATAATTGTAATTTTACTAAATTATTGTTATACTTAATAATTGTTCTAACATTGTAAAAGGGAATGGACGTAACGGTTATATATCAAATATTAATTGTTTTTAATATAATTTTTAAGAACTTTCTAATTATTATTATTTTTTAAATAATTCATTTATACCTTTTTTTTAATAGCAAAGTTTGAAAGCACCGGATAAACACTTTTAGGAACATTTTTACGAGGACGTAACATCTTATATTATATGTTCAACAATTCGATCTATCCTTTGAATATCCAACTATTATTAATTGAACACAGTTACAACACGTGGTCTTAAAAATCTTGGCTTCTGTAATAAGACATGGGCTTTGAAGGTAAAAGAATTCAACCAGATTATCAGCAGGGATCGCTTCGTTAATTAGCCATCTAAATTCAGGAAACCGCCTTTTAAGGTGAAGGTACTTCAGTGCTTCATCGGCTCAATGAATCCTAAATTAAGTTAGTGGACTTGCTTCATATGAGAATCGCATGACATAAACAGAACAGATGCATCAGAAACTGTAAATGTTAGTGTTTGATATTTGTAAGTTTTGAACCCTTAATTAATAAAGAAACTGGTCAAAATTTATGTTGTTAATCCGATTGAACTAATTGGATTGTCTTAGATGTTTAATATTACCTTACAACTTTATATATGGTTTATATTCGATGTGTCTAAGAACTAACTAAGAGAGACTAGAAAGACTCAGAAATAGAAAACTTCTTTACTAGCTGAATATTTTCAAGAGTACGCCAGCTAAATGCATGCTTAAATCCAATAGATTACATTTTGAACTGTTCCTTATCATGCCTTATTACTTCTATAAATAAACTGATTATCCATTGATATCTAAAGTATAAAGCCAGAAGAAGATTTAAATTTAGTCGCATCATAGTCAGATAATAGATGTGGGTGGATGCATGGTCATCTCTTAACGAATTACAAAACTGTCTTTTGTAAAATGAGATTGTAATAATATCTTCACATTATATTCTTATAATTTAGAATAAAACTGTTCATTAGTTTTAAATCAGGTTTCCCAACCGATTTTGATGTGACCTGGTCTCGAACTGAAACCTCCAAATTTTATATGCAATTGAAACTGATGTTCCATAAGCTAAAAATATTTGTTTAACTTAACCAATGGTTCAAAGAATCGAAAGAGGTTTATAACTCGAACCAGTATTTAAAAAACATTTTTCTATGCACCTGTGGTCTTTAAAAGTAAGCGTGTGTCTTTGTTTAAAAATTTCGGAATTTTAGAAAAGATTTCACCTCTCAACAAATGTTCCTTAAAGTTTTTGTGGTGTGACTTTCTTTGCGGTCTATTTAATAATATAGCTTAGTGTGTACAATTTCCATGGAGTCGTCTTAAAAATTTAATTGAATATGTGCTACATGATTTGCAATTTATATTTTTATAAGTACATACATTCTAAAACATCGGAATTGTATATATAAAAAATAACTTTGGTCATAGTTTTTCATATTAAAACGACAAGATACTTAACATTATTTTTCGCATTTACGAGTATTACTACTTGGTCTATATAAGTCTATTCAAAACATGTCGGTTAAAACGTAGTTAAAAAAAATGTTGCTTAGATAACTTTTATATTAACTTTGGTTTTAAAATATGAACAAATACTGGAATAGGTTTTGCTGAATGTAAATAAGTTAAACGTTTTATTACAGGTGACTTTAGTCCGGAATAAGGCATGGAATTTTTAGGACAAAGAAATAATTGATTTTAGGTAAATACAGCATTTAGAATTGAATTAATAATTAATTTATAAATAATTAATTTATTTCCTTCAGTGGAGGTATGAAGGCTTCTTTGATATATGCAACAGTACAGGATAGTGGAGATCTTCATCATAGAAATCTGAGTTTCGCAAAGCAATATGTTTACGCCAGATATCTTCGTTATATCTCTGAAACAAAACTGCTTGAAACCCTTTGACATAGCACTCATCAATAAACTGTGTAAGAGTTTTGCCTCGTCTAGGAGCCATAATTAAAGCAGTGCCTTCATTTGACAAATAATACCAAATTGTGTCCACTAGAGCCGCACGTGTTTCGTCAAAGAATAAACAATCTGCCGATAATATGATATCAAACTTGCCTTCCTCAATTGGCGAACGAACTTCTTTATCTTCCCATTTAAGTACAGAACATTTCGTGTAACATGAGAGTTCATTTAGACAAAGCGTTTTCTTTACATTTTGCACCGAAAATTCGTTACCATCTGTTAAATGTACAGCATAAGGTTTAGCATACTTCGACAACATTAGACCAGTGAGACAAGTGAAACCGCCACCAAGTTCAAGAATATATTTGCCTTCATATGATTCAAGTTGTGACAGTACATATACTGTAAGCGCTTCTTCGGAAGGCCAAACACATATATTACCCGTATTGTTAAAGCCCATTAAGTCACTGGCAGACCATTGTCGTGGAGCCTGGTAAATATTTACGAAGTACTCCTGCTGCGTTGAGTCACCTAATGCAACACGATATTTGTACCAATTTTCTGGGTTACTCAAACACTTTAGAGCCACTTCGTCTTCAAAACTACCCTGGCGTAACAAGTCAAATGTCTTAAAACGACGTACTGAGGCTGATTGCTCGTCTAGGTCATCAGTTGAAGTGGTTACAGTTTCATCTCCATCCTTCAATAACACTTTTGCTAAAAGCTTCCAACGCTTGCGAGCGTTACTCTCTAAAGTTGGTGTGGCTGGTGGTGTGGGTGGCAGCTCGGGTTTAATGTCGTCGGTATTTGTTTCTGGCGAACTGGAACTTGGCACTTCTGCATCTTTTTCGTCACTCATTTTTAAAAGATTTACTCCACTTTCTTTGATTGAGTTTAGTGTATTATCAATATCGTATTCAAGCATAAGCGATATTGACGATAGTTGTTGAATAACTGCGACGGTTGAGGGAACCGTTCCGGAACTAGTTTTAGAATTTTGTACTATTGTCGACATTTTTTTTTTCTATTTTTTATATCAAGTTATAAATTTATAACAATTCAAATGTTGCTCAGTTTTTCATATATTTCAATTTAAATTTTTGAAATCTGAAAATAAAAAAAATTTGATTTTGTTAAAGATTTAAGTGATACTCAAAGAAAAAATTAAATGCGTTAAAATTACTTAAGCAATCTAAATTTAAATAATAAAATAATTATAATTGCTCTATAATATTCTCATATATTCGCACGTATATATAGAAAGTTAAGAAAAAATTTGATCTCTATTCGACAAACAAAATGTCTTCTGTTGAATCAAGGATTAATTACTGAACACAAATCTTTTAATCTGCTTTACCGGGATCTTAAATATATAACATATAGTCTTATTTTAGTATGCAATTTTGTGTGAGGAGTTCATTAATGTTGTGCAATTTTTTTTCTTGAAAATGTTATTTCAATTTGGAAGTTCATTAGTATGATCGCTATATATGTGTAAAGAAAGTTAAGCAATCGAAGTTTTTGAATACTTTTTGCTATTCAACATTACATTATCATGATCATTAGGTTATAATGAAATCATTTGTATCACACCTCTTTAGTGATAGAATCTATTGTTTTTAAAGTGATTACCTGTCATTAGGTCTTAACACCACGATGCTTTTAACACCCATGCTATAATGCGCCGATAAACGCCCCCAGTAGAATTCCAAGGAGTCTACCGGTATCGATACAAGTCATACGATCAAGGTGTAATGCAATCTATACAGTTTATTCATTTAATGTTATTTTGTTAACAATAAAAACAACGACAACTGTCTTAGTTCTTATAGATATAGTTCGTTAGATTTATAACTAGTTTTTAAATACTAAACGCTCCTATCAGATTATTTTGAAAGAAGTACATTTTATATAATATAGTGTAAAATGTTTATTAATATTCTCTATTCGTATGCTGTAATAAAAAAACCGTTTTCAGTAACTTCAACTATCTTCCGTTGGGTCTAAAGGAGTTTGTAAAAGCTATTCTCATATGGGGCACCTTTTCCTAGTCTCACTACTCAAAATATGCAATTGTTACTACATATTAATAATAACAATAATTATTCATAACTTAGACTGCTAACTTAGGTTATCAAAGTCGAAAGTTGAAAAATTGGACACCATGTAAGCAAAGAAATATATCAGCAGAACACCTAAAATATAACAAATAATAATTGGTAATTAACAAATTCATGTATTCAGTAAGCCAATTTAGAGCAGTAATGCCACAGATAAGGTCGTAGTATGAGTTATATTCATACTGTTCTAGCACTTTCTTCAATTAAAAATAAATTTCACGCATCAATCTGTCGCTACTCGCATTATCAGATATGAATATGCGTTCGGTGATATTTCAGAAGTAGACCTAAAATAAAATCATTAAAGATGGGGTCCAAAGGTGAAAAATTTATAAATATATGAATTATAGAAACATGTTCTGCTCAAATCAAGTGATTTTCAAATGAGTGGATGTATAAATACAAGAAAAAATTATTTATGGAATCAATTTGTATAAAATGGCATATGAATAGCATGAAGCGATTTCGAATGAGTGAATGCTTGTACCTAAAAGTGAGTGTTACCCCAAATATTATCAGATTAATATATCCTATGTCGTCATTGCTCTTGAAGTAATGCCTTATAGAAAGCTTATAAAGTCAGTGATAAAAAGGAGACTTACAGAAATTATGACCTATCTGCAGAATATGATCCATACAATGTTTGCTGTTTTTTTTAAATAAAAAATTAAAAATGACAAAAATCGTAAAAGCTTTTACGGATCTAACGCGTAGGTTCCTCAAAGCGTCAACAGGCGAGACCGCCGCACTCAAGTGCTGACGTTTCAATCAGAATCGCCGTTGCACACAATCTTGTGTTGCGAACCGTGACTTGTGGCACTAAAAACGACGAATCCATTACAAAATGCACACAAACCGAATTTTTCACAATAAATTTTAATTAATGCATAATTAGAGAAAGTTTTACGAGACATGTTTAGGTGTTAAAATAGAAGTTTCAAATACAAAGAAGATTTTATTAGATTTTATATAAAATGTATACATTAATTTTTGAACTGAACCATGAAGTGCTTGCATTTGTTCAAAATCTGTAAGCGCAGTAAGGTAGATGTGGTGGAACATTCCTGAACGAAAACTTCTTTATAAATATTTTAGAAATTTAATTTATGCATTAACATTTGTTATTTATAGAGAAGTTATGCAATTTTCGAAGAAATGTAAACATAAAAATTACTGGAAAAGTAATTGGATTCATGAATTAATTTTACAGCAACTACAAGTTGTATCCATCCAAGTGTTCTCGGTTCTCGGAGTATTTTGTTTTCGATGTCATAACAAATCAATTGAGCTATTAGCTTATACATCCTTCACATATACGATGAAATTTATATTCATTTCTTAATGGGTTGCCTTTACATTTTTATAAAGACATAATCTTTATTAGTACATAAGAGTCCCTCAACCAGCTTCATAAATTGATGTAAAGAAAACTGAGCCACAATTAATCCAAATAAAAGAAGAATGAACCATTATATATCATAGATTTATTGTAAGCAAAGGATTCAATTGTCTTATTGATATTTAAAACTTTTTGAATCAATAATTACATATGTAATTCTGCTCTGGTGGTCAAAACTGAAACAAAGAACCACAGAACCTTAAGTTAACTGCATAGGATAATATTGTATAGCACCACAGCTGAAACTAATTTTGCAGAACCACTTCTTCTATGCTTCCATTTATAAATTAAAAGCATATGAGAGTACATCTCGTGCACTCAGGAGATATTCAATGTCATTCAGGCATACTAAATATAAAATTTAAAGATTCTCAATCATATTCCGCAAGAGTTTGGCTCCAATAAAAGTATTTAAAATTAATGTTTTAAAACTTCAGCCTGCGATAGATTATAGGGATAGTTTTATTTTCCCTTACGCATTAAATGTCTAGTGATCTATTAAGATGGCTTTTCTGTTTAGATAATTTTAACCAGATTTCATAGTTTTTGTTTTATTTTCTGGTATATAATTTTTATGTTTGCATTGCTTCCTGTTACTCGGTTCTAATCGTTTACTCAAATAGCTCACAATTCATTTGTGTAAAGTACGTCGAGGAACAAAATAACGAAAACGCACAATAATTTTATTTTTAATTGTTTGTAGGTGAGAATGTGGAATGCTTTATGCATCTCTAAACCGACCTTGGACAAAATATTGTGATAAACTCCTACTGTGTAGTAAATGACTCCTCTTCGGGATGACTCCTCCTTCTCGAGGTCGCTTTCGCATTACTTTGAAAAGGATCCTTTATTCATTGGCTTTCCCAACCGTATGCATTTTGTGGAACCTGTTTCTAAGCTTCAACTCCAATTCCAATTTGGAAGGTTTCCAGATTAGATTGCTGTTCATTTTAGTTTAGTTTGCATTCACGTCTTTTTTCTTTTTCTGGAGAACGTTTTCGACGAAGTGTATTCTTTTTTTCAATTATCTGCTCGTGCCTTTATTTTTCTTATGATATTCTCGACAGTAAAGTGATCAATATTCTCTTCTATCACATTTCTTGGTATGGAGACCACTTTTTGCATTTGAAAAAAATGTATTTAGCATTGTCTTCGTCACACCCAATATATACAACATATATACAATATATATACAGTTTGGTTAGTCTGCTTTTTTCATCTCGTATAGATATTGTTAAAAAAATATCCATGATTAGATATGAACTGTATGACATGAAAGTCAAACTACACGAAGTTATTTTTAGTCCACAAAATTTACATTCACGAAGCTTCGTGGATGAACATCGTTATCCGTCTTCTACTTGAATCGGAGTTTCACACAAATCTGGAAGGTTTGTTCCTTTAGACATTGAAAGCTTGTTAAATTGTTGGTCGATTTCTGCTTCTAGCATTTCCTTCATTCATAAGCTAAATAATATGAATAATAATAACAACGACAACAATGATAATCCCAGCACCAGTGCTTAAAAAATAAATAAAAATACCGATTGACTTAAAAGATTTTGTAGGAACCCAGTTAACAAACATTGTGGTGAAATTTAAAATAAAAGAAGGGAACACTCAACAATATGTAGGTATCTGTGTGCCAACTGGCAACATTCCGATAAAAGGAAATCCAAAACTCTCATTGCGATACCCCGTAGAGATATCGGTCTTTCGGCAGGTTTACTTACAGGTCATTGTAAATTAGGGAACCATGCTAACATAGAAGATTGTGAGTAAGACGATGAGCGTGCATCTCATCTACTATGTTTTCGCCCAGCTCATCCACGACGTCGACTCAACACATAAGGAGCACCCATTCTTGATGATCTTGAATAATTACAAGACCTGACATTAAATAGCATTTCAGGCTTCGCCAAAGGTTCTAGGTAGTTTTAAACCTTGAGTTTTTCCTACATATACGGTGACACAATGGGTGAATAGGCCTAAGTGGAAAAAAACCGAGGCAACATAAAAGTGCCATTAAAATTACGTGTAATTAAATGTTTTTTTTCAAATATTCTCAAATTATGTACCACACATTTAATTTATAGTACAGCACTCGAAGCATATATTTTTAATTGCATTATTAATAATTCATGTAAAATATATAATTTTCTTTTTGACTTCGTTACGTCGTTACTTTGTTGCGCTTAGGTTTATCTTATCTATTTATTTGAAATAAATAACAGCGAATTAATTGAAGACAGCATAACGAGAAAGCTCAAAAGGGCGAGGCACGGTAGTGACCCTACACTCCACACGGTCCGACTGACCTCATTCATAGATACGCTACTGATGTTTGAATAAGGAAAACGTAAGCACACATGCCTCAAATTGCTTTCATAGAAATGCTTTTCGGAGCGAACATGTATAGTCCAACATGTATGTATGATCGAACATGTTGGCGACCAAATAAAACATTGTAAACAAAATGTATTGCAAATGAAAAACTGCAAAGAACTTTATAATTTGAATTTCTGTTTCGGTTTCTGTTTCTGTTTCTGATG